CTCGATTTTTTATGTCGTTATCATGTCCCCCCTATCTCTCCCGTCCTCCAGTGTCGTCGGGTTTATTTCCCTTAACCCCTCCTCGTAGGACATACCTCTTAGTTTGGGTACTAGTCTTGTTGCAAACCTTTGCACTTTCTCTAGTTCTTTACGTGCTTGGCTAGGTTTTGGGTTCCAAACTGGTGCCGCATACTCCAATATGGCCTAACGTACACGGTGTACAGGGTCCGAACCAATTTCCCTTATTAAGATGTCGGAATGCTGTCTGAGGTTTGCTAGGCGCCCATATGCTGCAGCAGTTATTTGGTTGATGTGCGCTTCAGGAGATGTGCCTGGTGTTATACTCACCCCAAGATCTTTTTTCTTGAGTGAGATCTGTAGTCTCTGGCCCCCTAGACTGTACTCCGTCTGCGGTCTTCTTTGCCCTTCCTCAATCTTCATGACTTTGCACTTGGTGGGGTTGAACTAACGGAGCCAATTGCTGGACCAAGTCTGCAGCCTGTCCAGATCCCTTTCTAGTTCTGCCTGGTCTTCGATCGAATGGATTCGTCTCATCAACTTCAAGTCATCTGCAAATAGAGACACTTCGGAGTCTATTCCTTCCGTCATGTCGTTCACAAATACCAGAAATAGCACTGATCCTAGGACTGACCCCCGTGGGACCCCGCTGGTCACAGGTGCCCACTCTGACACCTCCCCACGTACAATGACTCGCTGCTGTCTTCCTGACAAGTATTCCCTGATCCATTGTAGTGCCTTCCCTGTTATCCCTGCTTGGTCCTCCAGTTTTTGCACTGATCTCTTGTGTGGAACTGTGTCAAACGCCTTCTTGCAGTCCAAGAAAATGCAATCCACCCACCCCTCTCTCTCTTACTGCTGTCACCCTGTCATAGAACTCCAGTAGGTTTGTGACACAGGATTTCCCGTCCCTGAAGCCATGTTGGCTGCTGTTGATGAGATCATTCCTTTCTAGGTGTTCCACCACTCTTCTCCTGATAATCTTCTCCATGACTTTGCGTACTATACATGTCAGTGACACTGGTCTGTAGTTTAGTGCTTCATGTCTGTCTCCTTTTTTAAAGATTGGGAGTACATTTCTATCATCCATGCCTCAGGCATTGCCTTGGAGGTATCTAGCTCACTCAGAAGCCTCTTCACTTCTTCCTTGGTTGTTTTAAAGGTGCCCACCCTTTGGGTGGTGGCCCCCCTCCCCGTCTTTCTGGAGCCCCTTCTGTCTCCTTTGGAACATTTTTGAATCTCTTGTTGAGTTCCCTACATACTTCACGTTTATTTCTTTTTGGGCTTCCTCCTTCCTTATTAGCTGATTCCCTGGTCCTTGACTTTTGTTTTCCTCCTGATGTGGCTTTTTATAAACAGCTTCGGGTAGATTTTTAATAATATATATATTATATATATAATATATAATAAATATATATATATATATATATATATTATATAAAATTATATGTGTTTTGGTGGTGTTACTCCCTATTTGTACCACCTATTTGTGGTTGCAGGGGTCGGCCCTAGTCCTGGCCCCGCCTTTTCACCGGTTGCTACTAGGCCCTTCTCTCCCGCTCCATAGCTTTATCAAACTGTCTTAAAACGTGTATGGTTTCCCTCCCTCCACACGTCATTTTCTGGTATTCCACGCCTTAAACTTATGACTGAAGAAAATTCCCTACTATTCTCTGACTCTTTGTGTTTTCAATTTCCCAATTGTGGCCCCTTTTTTCTGGTTCCCCCCCTGGAACTCCTGTCTTTTTCCACCTTGTCTATTCCCCGCGATTTTATTGTGTTATCTGTTTCCCTGACCCTCCGTCCCCCCGTGTGGTCGGCCGATTTCCTTAATCTTTCCTTAGGAATTTTCCCCTTAGCTCTGGAACTAACCCTTTTCGCAAACTTTGTCTTTCTCTAGTTTCTTGAGTGCTTTATCAAGTGCGGGTTCCAACGGTGCTGCATACTCCAGTATGGGCCTGACAACACGGTGTACAGTGTCTTGAATGATTCCTTACTAAGGTATCGGAATGCTGTTCTCAGGTTTGCCAGGCGCCCATATGCTGCAGCAGTTATCTGATTGATGTGTGCTTCCGGAGACATGCTCGGTGTTATACTCACCCCAAGATCTTTCTCCTTGAGTGAGGTTTGCAGTCTTTGGCCACCTAGCCTATACTCCGTCTGCGGTCTTCTGTGCCCTTTCCCGATCTTCATGACTTTGCATTTGGCAGGGTTAAATTCGAGAAGCCGGTTGCTGGACCATGTGTCCAGTCTGTTCAGGTCTCTTTGAAGTCCTGCCTGATCCTCATCTGATTTTATTCTACTCATTAACTTCACATCATCTGCGAACAGGGACACTTCTGGTCTAAGTCTTCCATCATGTCATTCACATATACCAAAAATAGCACTGGTCCTAGGACCGACCCCGGTGGGACCCCGCTCGTCACAGGTGCCCACGTTGATACCTCATCATGTACCATGACTCGTTTTTGCCTTCCTGTCAGGTATTCTCTGATCCATTGCAGTGCCCTTCCTGTTATACGTGCCTGATCCTCTAGCTTCTGCACTAATCTCTTGTGAGGAACTGTGTCAAAGGCCTTCTTGCAGCCCAAGAAGATGCATTCAACCCACCCCTCTCTCTCGTTTCGTACTTCTGTTACTTTATCATAAAACTCCAGAAGGTTTGTGACACAGGATTTGCCATTCATAAATCCGTGCTGGTTGGCGTTTATACTCTTGTTCCGTTCCAGGTGCTCCACCACTCTCCTCCTGATAATCTTCTCCATGACTTTGCATTCTATACACGTCAGTGACACTGGTCTATAGTTAAGTGCCTCTTTCCTGTCTCCTTTTTTAAAATGTGTGTGTGTGTGTGTGTGTGTGTGTGTGTGTGTGTGTGTGTGTGTGTGTGTAGTACGTACGTAACGTACGTACTCACCGATATGTACTAGCTTATGCATTGGTGCAGGGTCGAGTCATAGCTTCTGGCCTCTCCTCTTCGCTAGTCTGCTTCAAAAGCCTTATCGCATTAATTCTTATTGCTATGTAGGGATCCTGCCTCCCCTACTTCACTCTCCGTGTTGATCGACTACCTGACAACCCTAAGGCTGAAGAACTACTTCCTCCCATCCTTGTGATTCATCTGAGCTTTTAGCTTCCAGTTGTATCTCCTTGTTCGTGTGTGCCATGTCAGAAACATGCTGTCCCTATCCACCTTGTCAATTCCTTTTATTATTTAATACGTCGTTATCCCTTATGTCCTCCAGTGTCGTCAGGTTGGGTTCCCTTAACCTCTCCTCGTAGGACAAACCCTTTAGCTCCAGGACTTGACTTGCATTTTCTCTATTTTTTGACTTGTTTGACCAGGTATGGGTTCCATACTGGTGCTGCATACTCCAGTATGGGCCTGACGTACATGGTGTACAGTGTCATAAATGACTTCTTAGATGTCGAAATGTTATTCTTAGGTATGCCAGGCTGTCATAAGCTGTAGCGATTATTTAGTTGTGAACCTCAGGAGATATGCTCGGTGTGATGTTCACCCCAAGCAACGTATGGCCCTCTTAATATATTCCCTATATTGAACCGAGCCAAACAGGGCGAATACAAGGTCCAGCCTTCCTGGTTCGTCTTTTTCCCTCTTTGGTTGTGTCCTTAACTTGTTCGTGTATGACGTTCTCCATTACCACCCCCAGCATCTTAGTCCTCTACGCTTCTGCTCCCCTGTGTGGCTCTAGGTTCATCTTGTAGTAATAGTCACCCATGATCTGTAAGTAGCTTTGCCCTGCTCATGTGGGTCCTTCTGGCCACCTCAGCTAGTGTATCCACCATTGCTCTGCTGGTCTCTTACTCTTCATTGAAGGGATGTACAACACTGCTATTATCACCTTGGGACTCCTAGTCTTCAGTGTGCCTACTATGTAGTAATCTGCTTCCCCTTGACGTTCCATTTCTCTCTTCAAGACTCTGATAGTTTCTGATGAGCAGTTCTAATTCTCTCCTGTTTGCGAATGTCGAGTCCCTTGATGCCTGTACTAAGATACCTGCTGTTCCGTTTACCTGTTAATCTGGGTGTTAGTCGACTGGTGTAGATCTCAACCTGGGGGCAAAAGGACAAAATTAACCAAATTTGCCCGAAATGCTCTGCATAACGAGGGGATTTTTATGCCATTGATGTCAGCTAGGTCCGTATACGTTGTACGTGTACTTGTAGAAATAAAGTTTAATAATAATAAAACAGGTACAGGAGGTCATAGCTGGAAGTGACAGACGAGGCACAGGGGTGTCTGATAGCCTTTTCTTGTCAGGAAGTAAAGAGACTTGGGTGCAGTAATTTAGGCAGTCTTCATAGTTCTTTTACTAATATCTATGTCAGGACCCATGAAGCTAAGATGGAGGCAGGAACAAAAGCCGAAATTCGATGCCTCCTATTGTTTCCACCTCTACCGGGGATCTGAATCACGAGGCTCAGTGTTTGAGCCGAGTGCACCAGCAGTAGTTGTACCGCCTTTGTGTCCTCTGAGAATTCGTATGTCGCCATCATGTCTCCATTCTTTTTTCGGTCATCTAATTGCATCATGTTTAGCTTCCTTAGCTTCTCTTAAGTCATTCTCCCTAGCTCTGGACTTAGTCTTGTTGCATACCTTTGCACTTTCTCCATTTATATCATAGTGTTTCAGGTGAAAGTTCAGTGTTACTGCTTCGAACTTGAATGGGCCAGACATATCCTATATAGGTTAATGAATGACTGTTGAGATTCCTGAAAGGTGGGTTAAGATTTGCCAAAAGAAACATTCACTGTAGAGGTTATTTGGTTGATGTGTGCCTCTAGCACACCCCTAGGACTTCCTACTTGTGAGTGACTTGTTGCCTCTGTCCTCAGTCTTTCTACTCAGTTTCCAGTCTTCTTACCACTTCCTCAGTTTGCATTTGTTATAGATGAATGCGAGTAGTGACTTGTCTGACCAATCCTGTTGTTTCTCCAGGTCCGTTTGTAGTTTTACCTCATCTTCGTGAGTGTTTATTCTCATTGATTTTACATCTGCAACCAGGAATATGTCTGACAATCTGTTCTGGTACGTCATTTCAATATACCAGAAATAGTTCTGGTCGTAATATCGTTCTTTGCAGAACCCTCCTTGTTAGACTTTCTGCTTCTGATATCTCTTCTCAGATAATAACTCAATGTTTCTTTGATTCATTCATGCCTCTTGTTAGTTGTTCTAGTTTATTGTAAAGTACAATATCAAATGCCTTGTTAAAATTAAAAAAAAACAAGCAATTTATCTTTCTTCTCTCTTCTACACCTCTTCTGTTACTTTACAATAAGAGTGAATCAAGATTACAAGACTTGATATGCCATCTCTAAATACATGGTATATGAAACCACGTCCCTCCTGGTGCTGCAATATTCTCCCTCTAGCTTCTTCATTATCTTAAATAATATGGATGTCAGTTATACTGAGAAATAGTTTAATGTTTTCTGTCCCTCACCTGTCTTAAATACTGGGATTACATTTGTTGTCTTCCAGATCTCGGAGAATTGTCCTGTATTTGTTGAAGTGTTGTAGATTATAGTTGGTGATTCAGTGTGTCTGCTCCCTCTGGCAGAATTCATAGTGACACTGTCAACTCTCATTGCCTTTTATATATCTAGTTCATTCAAAAGGCTTTCATTTCCTTCCCTGTTGTGTGTTGTCCAGTGTCTGGTAGTCAACCTTTTCTATTTGACTTTTCTGTGTTGTTCCTCTGAAAACATCTTGAAATAGTTTGTTCGTCTTCCAATAATGCGTCGTCGTTTTTCGTTAACATCTCTATTTTCTTCAGCTTTATTGTCTTAGCTTTTATTCTCAATTTTTTTATTATGTCACCGTGAAGTAATTTCGGTTCAGTCTTGTCTTCAGTTACTTTACCACTCTTAAATTGTCGTTTAAACCCCTCTTCACTCTTGCATATTAGTTTCAGGCTCTTTTCCTAGTTACTTTGTTTCAATTATTTATCGAAGCTCATATTTCTTTTGTCTGCAAGTTTTTACCGTTTTCGTTTCTTCTGGGAGTGAAATTCTCTTTCGCCTGCCGACACTTTCTGGTACTTTCTCTCTATTTCTTTGTGGTTAAAATTTCCTATGATTAGAAGCTTTGTATTGGTTGTAGTACAAGTGACAAAACTACAGAGAAAAACTATAAACTATTTTTATAAATTACAATGTACGGCTGACGTAGCATTAATTGTCATGTTTAAACTTGTTTGTACAAAAACCTCCTGTTACGTAGAGCATTTCGGGGATCTTTGTTGCTGCCGTTATCGTATCAAACATTGCACTGTCTTAATATTTCTGTCTTGATCAATTGCTGTTTGGGTTACAAATCACTGCTGCTACTATTGTCAAATATGTAGTCGATTCACTTGTACTTTCTTATCTGTCTCATCCTTTCTTAGCTCCCTTCCCTTCCCCTCCCTTCCCTTCCCTTCCCTTCCTTATTTTCCTCTTACCTCAACACATAATATCCTGGTATATGTTGTCATTCAAATTAGTTTTATCTCTGTGATAGCTATGATGTCTGGGTTTCCCTCAGCTGTTTTGTGTGTGTGTGTGTGTGTGTGTGTGTGTGTGTGTGTGTGTGTGTGTGTGTGTGTGTGTGTGTGTGTGTGTGCATGTGCATGTACTCAGTTGTATGTGGTTGCAGGGGGTCGAGTCTCAGCTCCTGGCCCTGAGATTCCACTACTGCATAATCTCTCTTTTTCCTCCGCTACACTATTCTGTTACACCCCTGCACTATTCTCTTCTACCCCTCCACTATTCTACCACTCCATTATTCTGTTCCACCCCTCCACTATTCTCTTCTACTCCTCCGTTATTCTTTTCCATCTTTACACTCCTTTATTGCACCTCCCATCTCTCCACTGTTTTGGTCATCATCACCTCTCCACTGTTCAGTTGCACTTCTCCACTTCTCAGTTGCACCTCTCGACTGTTCTGTTTCGCATTTCCAGTGCCTTGCTATATCTCTCCACTGTACAGTTGCACCTCTAACCTCTCCACTGTACAGTTGCACCTCTAACCCCTCCACTGTACAGTTGCACCTCTAACCCCTCCACTGTACAGTTGCACCTCTAACCCCTCCACTGTACAGTTGCACCTCTAACCTCTCCACTGTACAGTTGCACCTCTAACCCCTCCACTGTACAGTTGCACCTCTAACCCCTCCACTGTACAGTTGCACCTCTAACCCCTCCACTGTACAGTTGCACCTCTAACCCCTCCACTGTACAGTTGCACCTCTAACCTCTCCACTGTACAGTTGCACCTCTAACCTCTCCACTGTACAGTTGTACCTCTAACCTCTCCACTGTACAGTTGCACCTCTAACCTCTCCACTGTACAGTTGCACCTCTAACCTCTCCACTGTACAGTTGCACCTCTAACCTCTCCACTGTACAGTTGCACCTCTAACCCCTCCACTGTAGTGTTGCACCTCTAACCTCTCCACTGTACAGTTGCACCTCTAACCCCTCCACTGTAGTGTTGCACCTCTAACCTCTCCACTGTAGTGTTGCACCTCTAACCTCTCCACTGCTCTGACGTTGTAAAAGTGTCTTGTAATGTTTATGAGTCATGCGTGTATTCGTCTTCCATCTATGTATCTTGTGGTCTCCCTCACGCTAAACAAACTCTGTTTGTCCTCCTCCTGTTTTATTTTCTTTGTCATCATTGCTTCTCTTATGTCTTTATTTTTCTTCTGAAATTCGCTAGCTCACTCTCCCTTAGTCTCTTAATGTAATTTAGTTTTCGAGCCTCCACCACCGATTGAGCCGAATGGCCCACACGGGCTTAGCGTTTCGCAGGCATAATAAAATGGGGAAAAGCCTTAAGAATTTTTACATTTCCTGTGCTTAATTAGGTGTGGGCTCCACTCTGGTTCCGCGAAGTCAAGAACTGGTTTGGTTCATCGTTGTATACATAGTTGTGAATGTCTGTTTTTTGAGGGCTCTCGTGACTTAGGTTACGTGTGACCTTTTATCTTCTATATTTCTTCGTTTTTTTTTCAGATTATTTTCTGTCTGATACATACACTTTCGTCACTTTATTTCCTCGCTTATTTTCATTATTTTGCATTGCCTTTGGTCATATTCCAGCTGTCAAATTTTAGGCCTTTCTTGTAGCTGGTAGAGGCTATCATGTTCTTGTAGCTGGTAGAGGCTATCATGTTCTTGTAGCTGGTAGAGGCTATCATGTTCTTGTAGCTGGTAGAGGCTATCGTGTTCTTGTAGCTGGTCTAGGCTATCTTCTTGTAGCTGGTCCAGGCTATCTTGTTCTTGTAACTGGTAGAGGTTATCATATTCTTGTAGCTGGTCCAGGCTATCTTGCGCTTGTAGCTGGTCCACGCTATCTTCTTGTAGCTGGTCTAGGCTATCTTGTTCTTGTAGCTGGTCCAGGCTATCATGTTCTTGTAGTTGGTAGAGGTTATCTTGTTCTTGTAGCTGGTCCAGGGAATCTTGTTCTTGTAGCTGGTCCAGGGAATCTTGTTCTTGTAGCTGGTCCAGGGAATCTTGTTCTTGTAGCTGGTCCAAGCTATCTTTTTCTTGTAGCAAGTCCACGCTATCTTGTTGTTGTAGCTGGTCTAGGCTATCTTGTTCTGTAGCAAGTCCACGCTATCTTGTTGTATCTGGTCCAGGCTATCTAGTTCTTGTAGCAAGTCCACTCTATCTTGTTGTAGCAAGTCCACGCTATCTTGTTGTAGTTGGTCCAGGCTACCTTCTTGTTGTAGCTGGTCCAGGCTACCTTATTCTTGTAACTGGTCTGGGCTATCTTGTTCTTGTAGCTGGTAGAGATTATCTTGTTCTTGTAGCTTGGCCTTTGGTCATGCTCCAGCTGTCAAATTTTAGGCCATTCTTGTAGCTGGTCCAGGTTATCTTGTTCTTGTAGCTTGCAGAGGCTATCATGTTCTTGTAACTGGTCCAGGCTATCATGCTCTTGTAGCAAGTCCACGCTATCATGTTCTTGTAGCTGGTAGAGGCCATCTTGTTCTTGTAGCTGGTAGAGGCTATCTTGTTCTTGTAGCTGGTAGAGGCCATCTTGTTCTTGTAGCTGGTAGAGGCCATCTTGTTCTTGTAGCTGGTAGAGGCCATCTTGTTCTTGTAGCTGGTAGAGGCCATCTTGTTCTTGTGGCTGGTAGAGGCCATCTTGTTCTTGTGGCTGGTAGAGTCCATCTTGTTCTTGTAGCTTGTAGAGACCATCTTGTTCTTGTAGCTGGTAGAGGCCATCTTGTTCTTGTAGCTGGTAGAGGCCATCTTGTTCTTGTAGCTGGTAGAGGCCATCTTGTTCTTGTGGCTGGTAGAGGCCATCTTGTTCTTGTAGCTGGTAGAGGCCATCTTGTTCTTGTAGCTGGTAGAGGCCATCTTGTTCTTGTAGCTGGTAGAGGCCATCTTGTTCTTGTAGCTGGTAGAGGCCATCTTGTTCTTGTAGCTGGTCCGGGCTATCTTGTTCTTGTAGCTGGTCCCGGCCATCTTGTTCTTGTAGCTGGTCCGGGCCATCTTGCTCTTGTAGCTGGCCCGGGCCATCTTGTTCTTGTAGCTGGCCCGGGCCATCTTGTTCTAGTAGCTGGTAGAGGCTATCTTGATGTAACTGGACCAGGACATGTGTTAGTATTCACCTTAGCTTCACATAGTCTCTGAACACTGGTACATATGATTCAAAGGTCGGAAAGGTCACTTGCGCATAAAGGTCCCGTTGCAGAGTATTATTAATTGGGACACTGATGAAATAATATATTTATTTGGTAAATTAAAGTTTATTTGAAAAATACACGGCAATAACATGACAGATAATTGATTCAATAAGATATATGACTACCCGTTGTTTTTATAAGCATTGCTTTGGTATAGAATCGACTAATGCTGAACACATTTTGGCAAGTTCTGCGGCTTGGTACTAGGTCTCAATACCAGCAGCAATTACTTTCTTTATATTAGAACAGTCCCGTTTTGCGATTGTGCGTTTGGGAATTGCCTGTAGGTTTTCAATTGGGTTGAGGTCAGGAGAATTTCCGGTCTAATGTAGAACACTTAACCCACTTTCTTCGAA